GAATATGAACAGATGATAGCATCCATCTGTTTTATTTTAATTTAAATTTAATCATTGATAGTAATCTTAGGAAATGAATGAATGGATAAGTGGACATTTTAAAGCATGACCCTTTCAAAGTTGTAATCGTGGGATATCTGTTGCAATGAATGACCACTATATCTTATGCGGATGAATGTTGTAACTGTTGATATGATTGAAGATGTTCCTGTCTGCTATGGTAGGACAAACTGATAAGGGACTGTCATCTTTTATTAATAATGTTAAGTGCATGCTGCGACATCTATTTCTTTACTCGTACTGCCTGGTAAACACCCTGACACACAACATACACACACACACACACACACACGCATACACACCACACACAGATATGCAGACAGACAGGGGTGCAAATAATACAGTGTTGTGGCGGTCTTTATAGAATTCTTGTGAGTGGTGTGCACGGTGGTGTAGAATGGATATACACGTGGGTTCATGGGTGATATGTCCATCTGTCCATGTATAATCAGTTTTTTCTGGTAGGGATAAAGTCAAATTTTGTTGACCTTTTTGAAGGAAGCATAACTACCCATAAAAATTGTTGGGACAGTCACACACGTACACACACACGCGCACACACACGTATACACACACACACACACACACACACACACACTTGTGATGTATTTTTATTTCACGATTTCTGTTCATTTTTATTGTTTACTTATGTGTTACGGAAAGTGTTCCCTGAAATGCAAAGCCGTTTGGGAATAAGGAATGCTATCAGTTAGCCAGGTTAGGTTAATTAGCAGGTCAGGTTAGGCTAAATAGATTAGCTTAGGACTAGACTTGTTATTGTTTGTTTAATTCAAATTGGAACGAGGTAAGGGTAAAATGGTAGGAGTAAAAGAATGAAGAAAGAGAGAGAGAGAGAGAGAGATGCGACGAAATTTTTAATCAGCTTACTGATTGCACTATAAACATACAGTACTTGTTGATTTAATTGCATATTTCGCTGCTAACAATCATTTTTTTGGTTCTTATCAATGCTTTCATCCTTTTCTTTTCTTTTTTTCCTTCTCTTTCTCCTTCATTGAAATATTTTTGTACAAAAAATAAAAAAATAAAAAGAAAAACCGTAAAGTGAGTATTTCATGAATAAGTATCAATATGGATCAGATTACTTTGAATGGATCAGTCAATCTCTTGCTTAGTAATACTAACTTTACGAATTAATTAAGCATGTTATGAAATTACTATTTATAAATCATTATTATCTTGGGGATTTTTCCGTGTTTTAGTTTCGTGTTGTATTCATTAAAAAATTGTTACAGAAATGAAAATTTTAAGTTTCAGAATATAATTATGCAATCATCGCAATATTGCTGGTAATACCATTGCTTTGCTTAACTTATACACTCTTATTTATTTGGTTCGAATAGATCGATTGGTTGAGGTTGGTCTACAGAAATGACAATGATTATGGATATTAATGGTAGTGATCCACTTCAAACAAACAGTACGGTGGCGAATTTGTAAGTTTTTTCTTCTAGACTTCTAGTCATTTAGCTATCTCAACAAATTTTCAAAGATTTTGACTCTTTCCAAAATCTGAACATGTCATCTTGGATCTTTTCTTTTTTTTTTATATTGTTCAACTGTGAACTTTATCTGAAAGCTCTCAGTTTCTTGTTTTATTTAATAAAACAAAACTCGTACTTATCAGTTTTCAATCCATTCCTTCGTCGGTCAGAGTTATAGCTCTTCAATCTATGTATCTCTCCTTGCGTAGTAACCATTGATACTTATGCATTTTCTAGTTCTTCATCGGAAGTGTTATTTCACGGTTGTGAGGCAGGGACATCGAATGAGGAAACCAGTGAAGATATCTACATCGGAAACACTCGGTAGTTTTTTAATTTATTATAAAAGACATATTAAATCGTCAAATTTTCAAGTAGTTACTTTAACTGTAGGACACATGACTTTTTATTACGCTTGATTTTTGCACCATTTGTCTTTCTATCATTAAATATGATATAGGAATTATAATTTACCTTATTATTTCATTTCTTGCTTTTTAGGAAATCACTCTTCCCATTTTTTAAGCAATGTTAAGGAATTTTACAGATGTGTTGGAGAGATTTCACAAGCATCATGTAGCTCGATATGTTCTGAAGAATTTGAAGCAGAACAAAAAGTATGTTGAAACTACAAAAATGTTCTCTTCATTTTCAAAATTCTCGAATCGTATTTGGCTTTCTTAGGTGACGATTCGATTCATTTTTTTATTGTCGTACTGATGAAATAGAGTAAGATCGTTCATCATTTTAAACGAATGAGCTAAATCTCTAATGCTTTGAGAAATTCTTAAGCTTTGTTCGTCCTGATTTCAGAATGGCGGATTATGTTGGAGCTGTAACATTACTGATCAGAATACTTACCAGCATTCTCGCTTAGCACCTGGACGTACCTCTTGTGTGTTCTTGGAAATGGCTTTGAAACGATTATATGCCCGAGACGATTTCAATGTACTGGAAAGCTTAGGCGAAGGTTTCTTCGGTGACGTATATAAGGTTCGGGCTTTAATGCACAGTGAGAACATTGAACACACATTAATCAAACATTTTTGATAGAAAATGAAACTCATGACGTCCATTTTGTGTAGGATTTACAGAAGAATCGAAGATTAAGCTTAGAGGGAGAAGTTTGGGTTCTCTGAACACTGCAATAGATCTTTCCAGGTGCAGCATCGATTTACCGGAGAGATTATGGTACTGAAGGTCGGTAAGGAACGAGAACGGGAAAATCGAATACGGATTAAAGCAAATGTATTGAAAGAAGTTGACGTATTAAATCAGTTGACGTCACATCCCAATCTGTTGGCATTTCGGTAATGTGTCCGTTTTCCCGATTTGAGTATGCTGTGATTTAAAAGGGAATTGTTTGTCAATTATTGTGACTAAGATAGAAGAATATTTACGTGCCATCATTGAATGAGGTGTTTTTTAGCGGTGTTTGTGTTGATTTGGCAGAGAAATCGTGGAATTTGCATATACTCATGGATTTCTGTGATGCGGGCAGCTTAAGTCGCTTGATATGTGACCATCAAAAACATTTTCGATGGAACTTGCGGTGCAGTTTAGCGCGTGATATTTCATACGCTATGGATTTTGTACATACGAAAGGCATTATGCATCGCGATCTCACTAGCATGGTTAGTGCTGCTGTTTTCGTAATTGGTGTAAATTTCTTAAATTTAAACATGAAATAGAGATCAGGACAAGGGATTGACGGATGGCTGAACGGATTTGTGACTTGTAAAATGTATTTTTTTCATAGAATGTTTTGCTACAAAAAGTTACGAATGGGAGTTTAAAAGCAGTGGTGGCTGATTTTGGTTTGTCGTGCCGAATTCCGGGAATTGTGGAGAAGTTAACTCAAGTGGGTACTCCATTCTGGATGGCTCCAGAATGCCTTAAGGAAGAGTTTTATGATGAGAAGGTTTGTTTTTTGCTTGCAAATAAAAAAGGAACTGAGAAAATATTCATTATGTTCATTCTTTATATCGCAAACATTGTTGTATGGATTTTTGGATGAGAAGTTAAAAAATTCCAAATAATTATTTAGGCAGATGTTTTCTCCTTTGGAATAATATTGTGTCAGATGATAGCAAGAATTGACGCCGATCCAGAAGCAGGACTTTACCGGACTCATAATTTTGGCTTGGATTATGTTCGCTTTACTGCCCACTGTCCAACTGACACTCCTTTAGATATTCTGAACTTAGCATTCCAGTGCTGTTTGGTAAGGTATTATGTTCAAAATTTGCTTTTTTTAACTGCATTATGCCATTCACGATGTGTTTTTGTTTGGTCTTCCGTATTCCTTAAGTTTGCACTAATTATTAATGCCTATTGTAGATGGATCCAACTGCTCGACCCAGTTTTGCATCTGTCTATGATTTCTTCACCAATTTCCGATTTTCTCAACAGAACGACTGTGACGAATCTCCATCGCGACTGACTGAAAGTGATGGACGTTAGTTTTTACAGATTTTTTGCATATAAATTCGTCCCTAATGCTCAGAGTCATCCTGCTCCTCACCAATTGTGTTGTTGATAATTTCCTTGTTGTAATTAAAATTAACAAGTAATTGATCTTCCTACAGGATTGGAGCGCTCTTTATCAGATGCAACTTTAAAATATTGGAAATCGAAACAGTCGGAGCTGTTCTCATGTGTTTTAACTCGAAAGGAGCAAAATAATGGAAGTCAAAGGTAACTTAATTATTTCGTTTGCGAGCTCAAAGTAGTCATTCATGTTCTCTTCATCAGACTTGTAATTCTAGATTGCTTGCAACTTCTTGTAGTAACTTCGGTTCGTTATCGTAGTATTTTGCAGCTTATTTTCAAATAAAATAGTTTAAAATAAAATTTGCGGTTTATTTTCAAATAAAATACATTTTTTCATTACTCATTCCATGTATTTATGTATTCATTTTCATTTCATGTATTTATAGTGAGTGCAAATCAGTGAATATAGCTCCTCTTCTGGAACTTCAAGAAGTTGTGCCATATGAAGACTTAAATCGCACAAATAAGGAGATAAGAAACAAGTGGCGAATGGAAGAGCTTGCGAGAAGCGTTGCCGTGGATGAGCTTTCTGATGAGGTATTTGTCTTGCTCCCTTGATGGGTCAATGCACAATACACAAATAGCCAGTTCTTCGTATGCTTGTACTATGTTATTATTTTTAAGAAAAGATGGCGTAGCTTAAGCACAGGAAAAAGTCAAGTCATCGGAAAAAGTCTTTTTTTTGACCCCTGTTTCTACCTTAAATGACTTTTTAGTTCGAATCTTATTCAAGATATTCATAGATTTTTGTATGAAGTAAAACCGAAGGAACTCTGTCTTTTCAGATATCTTTAGACACTGGGAACCCGTTCATTGCCCATGAAATTTATAAAACGACCCGTAAGCTAGCTTTTCTTGAAACGAATGATCGAAAAAGACCTGTTGTCTCGGATGTGAAAGAAACGGATGACAGCAGTGTAAATGCAACTAATTATGACAGCACTTTTATGGACTATAGGTACGTTGACACTATTTATACACTATCTGTTCATATACAAAAAATTGTAAAAAATCCCTAAGCTATTTCATTTTCGAAATTGCAATCCAAATTGCTATCGAAGAAGATGCAAATTATTCTGTAGCATCTTCTCCAGTCACATCAGTGAGCAAGCAGCCAGTACAATAAGTTGTCATCTCTTGGCAATCAACGATTTGCGAAAGCTTTTTCTTTATTCACTTTTGGTTGGTGATATGGTTCACTATGAATAGTTAAACAGAAACACGATTATTTGATGTTTTTCAAGGCAATTTATTTGAAAGTTCTTAATTAGAAATGAAAATTCAGAATTATTCGCCGTAGTGCGTCACTTCCGAATTCACCAACGAATACGTCATGGATAAGGCATTGTGCAACATTTGATCCATTATTACCATCATCATCGTCTACGGGCTTAACAACGATTGTAGTCGGGCAACGCGATAAAACTGATCATATCGGTGAACACTGTGTGCTGAAGGGTCAAATGTCGATGGCCTTCAAAAATAAAGACCAGGTAAATATTATTTGTACTAAATGTTAATGTTTTTTTATGGTTCGAGTACGATACTCGGTTGTTTTCACTTTCCTCGTAAGAAGTCTAATTTATCATCTTCGATTACTTTTTGCAGTAAAAATTTGAGAAGCTTATCCCAGCATTACCGAAAAGGGGAAATAGTCGTTCCGCAAGATTTTTTTTTTCATTTTATTTAGAAATTCACTTCACGTCGATGTGGGTCAATTTTTTCGGACGAAACATTGCTTAGTTCCAGTTCTATGGAGAATCGGCGAGTGAAAGATTTCTCCTTATCGGTAGACGAAGAGATTTTAAATCGTGATATGGACGAACTTACTTTTGAGTGCTGGAAAAGTAACAGTAAGTTCCTGCGAAGCATAGAATAATAATATCTTAATTTCCACTACCACGAAGCCATCCGTCAAGAACATGTTTTTAGATTTGAGACTAAATAGTTCAGAACTGTGCTTTTCAGGCAATTTTGCCAACGTCATGCAACAAGGCAATGATGTAATCATACAGCAGCCTTTTCCAGTAGAGATATCTACTAGGAAATATTCTGTAAGACTTTCAGTGACCTTAAATATTTATTATTTCTGCTGAGAATTGCTGAGGATTCATTATTCAGTGAGGAAATAAGAGGTGAAATTACCGAAAGAAAGAAAACAGACGGATTGATTGTTTTCGCTATCAAAAATGTGAAAAAACTGTATTTCCTTCTGTCATACAAACATAAATTTAGGAAGGAACATTTATAAACAGGACATCGTTACTTCAGACCAGAACTTCTAGTGATGAATTTACTAGTGGGATACAACGTATGTGGAAAGTGGACTACAACAACCATGTCCAGGTATATTTTGGTTTAGCTCCATAAAATAGAGAAACTCGACATACTCTGCTTATGGTTCAACTATGATTTCGTAAAGCACATAATTTAAAAGAAGGTCTGGTTAATTCTCGGCTAACGTCTCATTTGCCCTTTATTACCCCTTCATTTAGTTTTTGTATCAAGGTTATTTTAAACCATTTTCTCCTGTTTACCTTCTCTTCATGTTCTTTCAATTTACCTGAAATGAAAACATTTCTGGTGAAGAGTTTTGAATCACCTTAATCATTGTTTATTCATTTTACTACTGTCTCTGTGCTGATTGTGTGATCTCATATCGGAGAGATCTTTATTATTTTTAGGTGATACGGGACACAGTTGTGCATAAGGCACCAGTACACAGCGCCACTATTTTAGATCCTTTTTGTGTAACAAACTTAAAATGCGGCTCATGTCGTAAACCGCGGATAGCGCATGCAGATGATAGACCTGTTTCTGCAGGTGGCGAATATTGCGTTGTTTTGTGAACTGATGTAATATTTAACATGGTTTCAGCGGCGCACTATGAAGCATCCCCTTTGCTGACTTGTAATATAAAGGCACATATAGCAGGAAAAGAAGAGAATCGAAGACAAAAAGAAGAAAAAGGCGAAAAGGACTATGGTGGGGAGTGATGATGAAATCTTGCACATTCTAGAACTCTCTCAACCTGCCACTTGCGCTACATAATTCTTGGAATAGATCAAGCAATTGGTAATGTGGTATTATGATGACAGGGCAGATGTTCGCCCCAAATGGTAGGGATATGTTAAATTCTGTGTAATAATAGATGCTCAGCAACCGATGTTGTTACTATTACTATTCACTTCATAATTTATTCTGTTGTAATCGTTATTTTTTCTCTGATCATCTCTATTGAAAACTGCATTATTAATGATGCTCACAAAATGTTGCCACTATAATTCTTCATCGTTTTTTAAAATAATGTACTGCCAGCTGAAAAATAGCATTATCTGTTCTTTTCTTCAGAAAGAGGCAAATCCGCCTCTATGCTATGTAATTATTTACTCGTATTCTATTCATTCCTTTGTCATGGAGAAAAAAAAAAAACTAAACAAAATGAAAGAAACTATTCTTACTGTAATTATGACACCAAGTTGGTGCAAGTGAATGATGAATGATCTTTTTTTCTCGGACGTGTTATGCAATTACAAATTCAGGTATGAAATGTGTAGTTAAGCAGGATTTAATTTTTAGTAAATCTGTTCCTCCTGCTGTTTGTGACTCAGAAACACTCTTTGCTGGCCAGATGATCTTACTTTGAAAGAGTATATGTCGTTGGAAGAAAAACATGAGATTGTTATTACTCCTAAAATGAAAATCATTGATCTTCAAATCTTTTCTCAGTGGGAGTTCCCTATGCCAATACGAACTGAATCGAAGTACTGTCACATATCATCTGAGTATATTATTAATACTTGTCTTTGCAGTACTCTCTTAGCAATGCTATTTGCAAATAAATCCTCTAAGTTACTTTATAATCCTATGTAAAAAGACATGCTTGTATATATATATATATATATATATATATATATATATATATATATATATATATATATATATATA